CACGTTTCTTTGTTCTACGAAATGGGTTCATATGATTTTTTTTTTAAAGAGCATTGCGAAAAAATTATATGGGTTGATATATATACAAATTACTCCTAACGCATCGACAACACGATCTAACATATATCTTCCTACATGAACATCTGCAACAGATCCAGTACGTTTGACAATATCTCCTTCTTTAACGGCAGTATCACTACCAAAAACTAAAATTCCTACACTCTTCATTCCTTTAATGCTAATCAAAATTTTAACAATTTTCGAACTTTCATCTTGTTCAATCCATAAATACGTGCAATTATATCTCGTACCGAAACCACTCAATTTCATTCACTTATAATTTTGTGTAATAATTTGTAATTCGTTGCTATAATAAAGTAGATAGTTCCACTTCGACAAATTTATTCATAAATTTTATGCTTTTTTCTCACCTTTATTACATTTTTTTTTAATAGTTTCATCCATCTTCAGGGACCCCAACACTCGAAAAATCAAAATAATAAAATTATTGAGTCATTTTAATAGACTCCGAGATCATTCGTTTCTCTGAATCATCGTATCGTACGTCCAAATATCCACTGAAGCCACAAGTACTTGGCCCAACTATCGGCGGTGGGAAAAAATAGATTAGAAACGTTTCTAGTCGGATGAATTTGGACGTTCTTGTGGTGACCCATACATTTCATAAAATCGTGGTCTGCTAACAGGCACGAGTTTAGGAATACTGGTGGTTTAAACCATCGCTACCTTTCCAAGTTGTAGTCCCATTAGGGAAAATGACCTCAACCCCAAAGTTCGGGGGTCAAGGCGAGGGTTGGCAAAAATAAAATATTTGGGCCTTGTGGGCCCCATCGGAGGAAAAAAAAAAAAAAAAAAAAAACTGCAGAGTTGAAAGGAAAACTACGAAGCAGGTGTGCTCACAGTAGTGCCACCAGAAATGCATATACCCAAAATCATTAATATTTTTATTGTTTGTTTTTTCTGTTTTTTATTTTTTTATTTAAAGCTAGTTTCACAGCCTTGCCAATGCCAACGAGGCAGGGCGCTTTCCATGGACAGTTGACACTTGCAACCAGCAGGGCACTCTCAGATGTACTAAAGATTTTGTATCCAGCTGCTTTTACGTCCAAAGAGTTGTTGCTATTTTTGCTTTTTTTTTCTTCGTACAACCGTGTTTGCTGAGGGTTGTAAAACCCGTTGGGCGGACATATTCTTACTTGTGCCCAATATTCTGTATCCAACTGCTTTCACGTCAAAAGAGTTGTTGGTTTTTTACCTTTTTTTTTTTTTTTTCCTATTGTCGTGTTCTGATGAGAGCAGTGATGTTCTTTGATAGACTCTCACATGTACCCAATGTTCTATATACAGTTGCTTTCCCGCCCCTAACATCTTTGTTTTTTTGAAGGGTGTTTTTTTTTTTTTTCCCCCTTTTTTCGACGGGTACTAAAAAAGAGAATACAACAGGACCCGACTCTGCAAAACTCGACGCGCAATGAAATCCAGGATTGTCAAAAATAGGCTCAGAGGTAGTGGTGGTTTAAAGGAAAGTCTTTTCGTAATGGGGATGACCCTAAAAACCTAGGCTACCAGAGTGGCCCGGGGTCACTTGCCAGGGCGGGCCAAAAATATTAAAAAAAACAAAAATAAAAACATTAAAAAAAACAAAAATGAAAACATTATTTTTAAATTTGATTTTTTATTTTGAATTTGGTGAAGAATTTCGATGTGACCCCGAGGCAAAAGCTGTTCAGTTTAGTTTTCTGCATAACATAGTCTTTTTGTGGAGTTTTTTAATTTATTTATTTATTTATTTTTTGTTGGGACCTTCCCCGGTCATTGCACGGGTTGACCACCCAAGACCCGGGCGGCCTGGCTGGTAGCCTAGCTAAAAACCATAATCTGTTAGTATATGGTGTAAATCGGGATGGTTGGAAAAATACAAACCAAACATAGATTCATTCCCATTTTGCAATTTTTTTAAATTTTTTATTCTCCTCTCTCTCTCTCTCTCTCTCTCTCTCTCTCTCTCTCTCTCTCTCTCTCTCTCTCTCTCCCCCTCCCCCCCCCCCTATCTGGTCGTATTTTTTTGTTTATTTTTGATTTTTCTGGCGGAATATATATATTTTTTCCTTTTCTCAGTTTTCCTGCTATCGGGCGTCGTCGGCCTCTTATGTTAAACCACCATTTCTTCCTAAAGTCATGCCCGTTAACAAGCCACAATTCTAGGAAAATGTATGGGCCACTACAGAAGCGCCCAAACTCATCCGACTAGAAATTGACTTACCGTGAGGGCACGAGTGCGCAGCCCGTAGTTCGTTTGTTTATGTGGTTCGGGAAGGGTAGGGTAGTGATTATGCGGTATTTATGTTTTGTCATGTTCGCTGTACACAACTCGACGAGAGTGTGTGTGTGGGGTCCCGGTTGGTGCTTTATTCAGGATGTTCATGGGACGCTGGACCCAGTTTCCAACAGGTGGCGCTCCCCATCAATTGACAGGAGAATGTATGTGAGTGTGTATGTGAGTGAGTGAGTGTGTGTGTGTGTGTGTGTGTGTGTGTGTGNGAGAGAGAGAGAGAGAGAGAGAGAGAGAGAGAGAGAGAGAGAGAGAGAGAGAGAGAGAGAGAGAGAGAGAGAGAGACCTGCAACATGCAGCATGTTAGTGGCGGGGAGCACAAGGGCAGGCGCTGACCTCCAACAACGAGAAGAAGTAATTTTATGGGAATACAAGAGTTTTTTCTTTTCGAAATCCGAATAGAAAGGGTACAGGTTGTATTCGAATACAACGTGTATGTTTTCTATTCGAGGAACTCTGCTATTCGAGGAAATGGGACCCACACCGTTTCAATTTCGAAAAAGGACTGCGGCCTCCTCGGCCTCCTACGTGCAGCTACCGGTCCTACGCGGTCCTGGACCAAAACCCGTGCGGTCCCACAGGCAGCTACCCGTCCGGCAGTTTCAAATAAGATGCCACGACCCCCTAAACTGCCATCCCTTGTTTTTCCAGCCTTCCAACGACCGTATAACGAACGAAGACGAAAAATGTTCTCAGGGGCATAAAACGCACCCCTGACGGGCTGCGAACTATTTCTTTCCACAGCCCATAGCTAACCCAAGTACTGGTGGTTTAACCACCGCGGTATTGTTTTTCAAGGAGGGAAACATACTGGTGGTTAATCAGCTTTCAATCATGATTAGTGAACCTCAAGGGCGTCGTGGAAAGGCACCGGCCTTGATATTTTCTCAAGTCAAGGGTAGGGGAACGAGCCCCTAGGCCTTTTGGCTAGGATCAAGTGTAGTATCTGTTCTGATCAGTTTAATATCTGATCCGTGGTCCGTCGGACCACATTAAAAAAAAAATAAAAAAAAATAAAAAATAAAATAAAATAAAATAAAATAAAATAAAATAAAATAAAATAAAATGGCGCTCGGAAAGTGAAGGGCCGCTGTAGACTGGGCCAATTTTCAAGTCACCTCCCATGGGCGACTCGAATTTCCTTGAAAACGGCGCCAGCGCGGCAAGGTAGTTAGAAGTTGCGTTCCGTCCCCTGGACCCTTTTTTTTTTTCAATTCTTTCCCGCCCCCAACTACAGTTGTCCTGGTCCAATGACGGACCTGCGTGGTGAACCACGTGAAGTGGAGAGAGAGGGGGCCGGGCAAACACAGAGAGAGAGAGGACTCTGTACTGGCTATTTGGGCTCTCGACCCGCTACGCTGCTAACAGACCCACACTCGTCACACACACACATCCATATACACACGCACGTGCGTAAAGTTTCGACAGCGGTTTGTGCGTTCCGTGCGGATTTGTGGGCACGCAGTTCTTGCTTGAGGTTGGGCTCTGCATCGTGAAGGTCGAAGAAGCTGAGGATTGGGCTGTTCATTGCGTGGAGTCTTAAAGATGACCGGGCCACCATAAATAAGGGTGTTAACCCGCCACGTGTATGGGCGTGCATGTAAGCAGTTTTTCTTCCTTTTTTGTTCACTTTCTGCTTTTTAATTTTTATATTCAGTCGCTTCTTCGATGGATGCTATGTCTTGTGTGTGTGTGTGTGCGCGCGCGCGCGCGAG